CTTCATCTATCTTTAAAAACTGTAATACTTAAGTAGTAAGTGACCAGCGTTGCTGAGTTCATAATAATAAAAAATGTGCAGTAATTACATTTGATAAGTTGATAATTGTGAACTTGTTTGCGGTCCGAAGTTTAATAAAATGAAAAAAAGAAAAAAATGTCTGACGTATGTGGACTATCTACTACTACTAGCAATATTTTTAACAGTGGTAGAGCCACGCGGCAGCTTTTGCTGTCGCACGGATGGGCCGGCTCGAACCGGGGTGGTACCACGACCTCACAGAAAACCAGCGTGAAGTAGAGGTTTACCTCTGCGTTTCGCTTGGTAAGTGCAGGTGGCCGGAGGCCCTTTTTACTGGAAATGAGGCATTCCATCTTAGTCCTCACGGGTGACAACGCATCTACATTTTGACTTGTAAGAGAGGATGTATGTAGATGTCTATGGGCCGCAGAAACCAGTTACCATCAGGTGGACTGTGTGCTCGTTTGTCACCCTTGTCCTATAAAAAAAAAACTATGAGAAAGCCTTTGATTCCGTCGAAATTTGGGCGGTGCTGCAGTCCCTTCAGCGGTGCCAATTTGACTGTCGGTATATCGAAGTTTTGAAGTGTTTGTACAGTAGGGCTACGATGGCTATCCGAGTACATAATCAGAGTACGAAACCTATCCCACTGCAGAGAGGTGTAAGACAGGGTGACGTAATATCCACGAAACTCTTCACCTCTGCATTGGAAGACGTTTTCAAGCTTCTGGACTGGAAACGATACGGTATTAACATCAACGGCAAGTACATTACTCACCTTCGATTTGCCGACGATATAGTCCTTATGGCAGAATTGCTGGAGGACCTAAGCACTATGCTCAATGACCTCAATAGTGCCTCCCAACGGATATGTCTTAAGATGAACATGGACAAAACAAAGATCATGTATAACGTCCATATCACACCTATTCCGGTAGTTGTTGGGAGCACTAAGCTCGAAGTTGTTGACGAGTATGTTTAACTGGGACAAATAGTCCGACTAGGTAAGTTCAACTTCGACCGAGAGGTCAATCGACGGTTTCAACTCGGAAAACATCTTCTCGTCAGGTATACCTCAAAACTTGAAAACAAGACTGTACAACCAAAGCGTGTTGCCAGTGATGACCTATGGAACTGAGACGTGGTTCTTCACTGCTGGCCGTATGAGGAAGCTCAAAGTCGCTCAGCGAGCCATGGAGAGGGCTATGCTCCGAGTTTCTCTGCGTCATAAACTTAGAAATTATCCACAGTAGAACCAGAGTAACCGACATATCCCAACGGATTAGTAAGCTGAAGTGTCAATTTGCCGGCCATATAGCTTGAAGAATCGACAATCGATGGGGAAAAAAGGTTCTTGAGTGACAGCCTCGTACCGGCGGACGAAGTGTAGGGCGTTCCCTCTACTAGATGGACTGACGACCTGGTAAGACGTGCAAGAAGTCGTTGGATGCAGGTGGCTTAGGACCGTGCTTTGTGGCATTCCTTGGGGGAGGCCTATGTTCAGCAGTGGACTTGTGAAGG